CCAATCATTCAGATTATTCCTGCAGGGAGCTTCTTCTGGGACGTGTGTCTCTGTATTTCATCACCTCCGAGATACTCGCAGACACAGCTGATGGTATCGAGCGCCGCCTCATAAACACCTTCTGCACATACATGGAGTCACACAGACACACAGCCYTCGGCATTAATCCTTAAAGGCGTCGTTTATTTTCCTCGTTCAGCACCCTGCCCTCGAGACTTCACGGACACGTCGGCACCGTGACGTATCGCCGRTTCCTGCTCGGTATTCACGTGCGGCCTGCGAACAGAGTCTGATAAATCYTGTCTTATTCACCGGAGACGCTCATGAATGGGGTCGTGACGCGCTAACCGCCTCGAAATGTTGCTCCGTCAGAGTGTGAGGTGAAAAAAAGATCAAAACATCTGCAGGAACAGAGTCTGTGGGACGAAACTTGTGACSTCAGAGACTGAAGAGTCAAACTGAATATTAAATACAACAAAAGACAGTTTTAAAGCTAATTAATTCAMATTCAAACCAATAAATTCATTTTCAAATTATGCAATTTCAATTCAGTTTCTGATGGAACCAGTTTCTTCTAATCTGCAGTGACTCAGCAGTTTTTAGCTTTCTGAGGAGACTGAAGTTAAAACTCAATCTTCATCTGGGGTTTCTTTTTGCTGAATGTAATCTGACTGAAAGGCTGAGGTTCTGATGTATAAACTGGAGGAGAGTAGAGAACTGCTTGAAGCTGCTGCTATGGTTCATTATGGTAACCATGGAAACCACACACCTGCCTGTCACTCCCTGACAGCACTCGAGAGGCAGCAACACAAAAAAAAACACAACATTAAACAGTCACTGTGTCAAAACTATGAACCAAATTTTAAAAATCCTGAACTGTGACGAACACACAGTTCATCCAACTAACCATCCATTCATCTATTCATCCAACTAACCATCCATTCATCTATTCATCCAACTAACCATCCATTCATCTATTCATCCAACTAACCATCCATTCATCTATTCATCCAACTAACCATCCATTCATC